AAACCAACAAGAAAATAAGTAGAAGTAAAAGAAAGACTACTTAGTCAAATAAAGAAGTGTGGTTTAAAGAATAGTAAACTCTTGTTGTTTTTTCTGTATTCTTTTTTTGAAAGTAATAGCTTAAGTAACTTCGTTAATGGAGAAAACTGTTATCTCTCCACTAAAATTTTATATCCAAGAGCGCACACCTTTTACTAGTTATCTTGTATATAAACACTCTTGGCTTAGATATCGAACACACATCTTATAAAAGAGTCTTAGAAAAAAAAACTATTGACCTCTAGGCAAACTGCTATATTAGACTACAACTTTTCAACAAAAGTTCTGTTTTTCTTTGGTAGAAAATTTTTGTCCAAATGATTATTAGAAAGAGTTTTTCAGTTTATTAATATTTTAATATAGTCAACTATTAATAAGTTTTATTATATATTGGTAATCATAGTTTTATATTACCTAATCATATATTATAGTTTTATTTATATACTTGGGAGTTACTTCTATCTATTTTTTGCTTTTGTAAGGTTTATTTCAAATCTAGTATCTGCTTTTTTTTTTGTTATGACTCTTCTTCTTAGCTTAATATTTTTCTAATTTATTAACCCAAAACAAGATTAGTTTGTTTAACTTTAAATGCTAATAGTCTTTTGACTCTTAGTACATGTTTTTATAATATATATTTTTTTCTTTTGATATGACTTTGGTAGCTATATTGGTCAACTTTTTATCTCAAAAAGTTTAGTTAAACAATATTCTAAAACTGGTTTCTATTTCTAAGTTCAATTTACAATACTATTAAAAGTCTCTGTAACAGATTAAAATAAAATTAGATTAAAATGAAATTTTAATATTTTTTAGGAACGATTTAAAAAATTTTGGGAAATATTTTTTAGGGTTAGGGCTAGAGTTAGGGTTAGGGTTTAGTGTTAGGTTTATTAAAAAAAGAATATAAGTAGGTTTTATAAGCTTTAAAGGGGAGTAAAAGAGATTATTTGTTTCATTTTAATCTGATTTTATTTTAATCTGTGATAGTCTCTGTTATCTCTCTAATCAGGTCTTTCTAAATAGGTTTTTAGTTATACCAGTTCTTTAGGATTTATATAAACTATATCTTATCTTGAATTTGCATCCAATAATTACTAGCTTGTGTAATTTGTTATACAAATATGAGTCTATGATCTACTATTTATAATAGCTCCTTCTTATTTTAAATAGTATTATTTAATATTACAAATTCTAGATTTAACTAATTGTAAATAATCATTATCTGTAATACAAACTAATATTTAAAATTATTATCTATGAGTATACTTGCTATTTGGTGGGGTAATGACTAGATTACTTTACTAAGCTACTACACTTTAAAAGTAAAAATTTTAAAATACTTTTTAAAAAATCTATGCTTCTTTTACTTCACTAAGTAGTAACAAAATTAAGTAAAATCTACTTACTATATTAGTATTTTAAAAATTAGAATCTCTAAAATAGTATATGTGATTATATATCTTAATAAAAAAGTAAAAAATTAAAAAGTGCTTTAGAATTAGATTTAGTATCAAGTAAACCTATTTCAGTATTTTTAAATTTTTAAAAAGCTACTTATTATATTAAAGCAAGTAGATTTACTTAGCACTATAGTATCAAATCTAGTTTTAGTTTATTTTTTTCAAATTATTATAATAATTCAAAAATATTTATAAACATAACTATTATTTTATAGTTACAGTATACAGTCATCCTCCCATACAATCACAAACTCTATATAATTACACAATTTTTATAGTTATTTTTTTTAATATTAAAAATACCTTTATATAATCACAATCATAATACTATCACTATCACATTTTTTTAAAAGTTTTTTTGTGAATTTACTAATAAAAATACCCCATTAGAATCACAAAATAATAATAATTTTTTATTTAAATTCTATAGATTTGTAAAAATATCTTTAATTAAAATTTTAGAAAAATTTAAAATATAAATAAAATAAAATTTATTATTTTTACTCAAACTTTGACAATGAATATCTCGATAACTATTGATCTAAATTTTAACCTTATATAATATTTATATTCTTCTATTATATATAAATTTTGAGCAGATTTGGTCAGGTATTTCTCGAGTAATCGCTTGTGTATGATAGTCAATATTTTTAAAATAATTGATTATCGTATACAAGCGATTACTCACGAAATACCTGACCAAATTAGCTGAAACTTTTATATTTAATAGATTATTATCAATATTATGTATGGTTAAAATTTGAGCCTATTTAGACCAATAGTTATCGAGATATTCATCGTCAAAGATTGAGTAAAAATAGCGAAATTTTTAATAATAAAATCTTTGTTATTTTTACTCAAAATTTGATGATCAATATCTCGATAACTATTGATCTAAATCGGCTCAAATATTTACCATAGATAATATGTATGTTCTTCTATTATATATAAAAATTTCAGCCAATTTAGTCAAGTATTTCTGGAGTAATCACTTGTATATGATAGTTAAAAGTTTTTAAAAAATTGATTATCATATACAAGAAATTACGCAAGAAATACCTGACCAAATCAGCTGAAAGTTTTATATATAATAGAAGAATACCAATATTATATATAGTAAAAATTTGAGCCAATTTAGATCAATAGTTATTGAGATATTCATCGTCAAGGTTTGAGTAAAGATAATGAATTTTATTTTATTAATAGACATTTTAAATAATATATTTTACCTTTTTAAAATCACATTATATATATTATTTATATTATTTTATATTATGTGATTATATAGAAGGAATTCTACTTAATCACCCCTTTATATAATCACCAAAAAGTGGTAGCCAAATAGGTGATTATATAGGAGGACAACTGTACTATGTATAGTAATTATTATTACTACGTATCATATTATAATCATTATTATTATGTATAGTAATTATTATATTATTATTACTACATATCATATCATTATTATTACGTGTCATGGAAATTCTACATCTTTTGGAATGTTGTGGAACTTTCCTCTATTTTTTTCTCTACCTTGCATTTTACGTTCATTGATATTCTACTCGGAATAACAGGAGGGAATGTTGTTGTTACACAACTGATTTTACAATCAGTGTGAAGCACATAAAAAATAATTTTACAATACTTGATCGGACTTGATCAGTCAACTAGTACATGTTATGATTATAATCCAACACCATTTTTTATTATTAAAAAATGATGTTGGATTATAATCGTAACATGTACTAGCTGACTGATCAAGTCCGATCAAGTATTGTAAAATCATTTTTTTATGTGTTTCACACTGTGTGTAAAATTAGTTGTGTAATAACAATGTTCTCTCTTGTTACTCGGAATATTTCGGACTGTTTTACATGATCTGAAAATTTTCATATTTTATTCCCTATATGTTTTTTACCTTGCTCGTATTTTACGTTCATTGATATTCTACTTGGAATATTTCGGACCATTTTACATAATCTAAAAATTTTCATATTTTATTTCCTATATGTTTCAGAAGTTTCGCTACGACATGTGTAATTGTCATAATTGGCTATTTATAGTACATACTTTATATCAAGCGCAATATATATGTGTGTTGAAATAATTACTACATGTAGTAATTTATATGTAGTAATTATTATATGTTGTAATTATTACAACATGCCATAATTATTACGACATGTCATAATTATTATGACATGTTATAATAATTACAATGTGTAATAATAATTATGACATGTCATAATATTACAACGTATAAAAATAATTATGACAATTATGGTTTTAAAAAGTCTGTGTAATAATATATGTTGTAAATATAATTGCCGTAATTGGCTATTTATGGCGCCAATCACTAATCTGCACTATGTTTGTAAATTGACTGATAGACCACACCCCAGAGAGCTTTGTAGGGTCTTGAACCAATTTAGCTTTGATCGTGAACAAATAATAATTAAGGTTAAAGGGTTTAAATCGATAAACTAACACACATAGTTATAGGTTAAAATTTCTCTTTATTAACATAAATCAATATATCGACATTAACTAAAATTAAAATTTTGAGCATGACACTGGCCAGGTCTTAGAATGGATTAGCAATACATCGGGTTGAGTCAGACCACTTAATAGCTCTAATCTAAACCTCCGTTATAACCACAGTAAGTCTCCAGGGCCATTAAACTCGGACCAAATCTTTCACTAATTGTTATAGGCATATTCGAAATTTTTTTTTGTATTAGCTAATTAATTTATTACATCCTATAATTTTACATTAAATGTTTATTTCCATATGCAACCTTTCCTATTAATAAAGACTTTACAATGCAATACAGAATTCCACACTAGAATCAATGACAAATTAGACCTGCATTTTTAATACAATATAATAATAATGATAAATATTGAGCATTTTTATTACTAACAAATTTGACTAATTATAATTCAATTCTAAAATTTTAAACCACTTAATATCTAGAAACTTTCCTGTTCCTGGTTTTGCACGATGACATTGTGCAGCTACCTTATTTAGGATACCCAATTTTTAAAGTAACACCTATGAGCTTATTTCACGTTTATACAGTATTAACATGACTATAAACCAGTATTCATTTTTCACATGCACAAAAGTGTGAACACGTGTGCGATCTAATCAAATTGCTTTATTTAAAATTTTGATTGGATCCGCACACATGCACACACTTTTGCGCATGTGAAAACTGAACACTGCTATAAACCATCCCTTTCATTTTACAAAACTATGTTTTTGGTATTAGCTAATTACAATGTAATTCAAACTTATAAATATATTGATCAAATTATAAAATATTAATATTATTTGATTGTTAATATAAATAATTAATTTTTAATAATAGTAAAAAAAAGAAAAAAAAAGATTAATAAATAAAGGATATCTATATTAAATTACATGCAACAATTAACATTCTTAAAAAAAGAATACATTGTTGATTTAAATGGTTAACATATTGTAAGCTCTCAATCTAAAATAACTTCATATAATTCATTAAGTAATCCTTTGAAGTCATGCATTCCAGCCAAGGTTAATAGTTTAGAATTTAATTTTACATTTTTAAAAGATGCTTTTCCTTTACCAAATGATAATATCTATTTTTTAAATTTGAAGAACAAAATATATTATACATATTTCATGATATTAAACAATTAAAAAAGAAATAAATAACATAAATTTTACTTTTTCTGTGACAATAGAGACGTTGAGCTCACAAAACCTTTGTTTGAGACTTACAGAAACTTTTGCTAAAAAAAAGAAATTAGTTTAATTTGGTTTAAATAAGCTAAAAATAATTTTGTGATGAATGGGTGAGCAATTTACGATATTGCATGGTTCAGTTCTAGTCTTGAATGCTGTAGAGTTTCTTATAAGTACATTTTTTGGAGAGAGACTCAGGTATGAATATACCAGTAGATGATGATTCTTTGGCCTCAAACAATGATGATAATTATGATGATAAGAGAGTTACGG